CGTAATAACAAAAACAAAAAAATTATGTAACCAGTTGCGCACGCAGAGAGATTAGAATCTCACTGTATCCTGTTGGCAAACCGGGCTTTGTAGCCGGCGACTGGGCTTATTAGCCTGCGGATTTTACTACTTAAAATTCCGTCCCAAGCTGATTTGGGCTTAATAGGCGGCTGGGCCTATTAATCGTGGGCTTAATAACCGGCGACTATTGTATTACAGATGTTGGTTGCTCAGCGTCCACATAGTTATAGGTTCAGGTGTGGAAGAACGTCCTCGCGGTTTTCAGCGCCACCTACTATCCCGAGTATTACGGAGTTGAACAACTGGTGGGAAGGCGGCAACTGGGAATTTGTAAAAAGGTATTTATTATTTATGTTTACATTTTCGGGCGGCAACTCGCAGGATCCCTACTAGTGTAGGTCATACCCCAGTGTAACCGTTTAAATTTGATGTGGATTTTAGCGTGCATTATAGTGCCTTTTATTTGCTACAGAACATAGCACCTACAATGATCTCATCGAATCCTTCAATGGACCGCGTATTAGGTTCCGGCCTTGTGGACCCATTAAGTCCTAAAGAACATGCAAATGGGCTTTCAATTCCAATGTTTGTCACTGAATTTATAAGCTTTGCTTGTTAATGCATTTTCTCATCATATGCCTGACAGATTAAGAAAATATTGAAGCTGCAAATGCGAACGAAATGTCCTGCCAAGCACGCTGCAAAAGAAATGTTTTGAAACTAAATTTCGGGGAAAAAGGACACAGAGGGGAGAGAATGTAGGACACTCAGAGATGGATAATAGAAGTTCATCCGTTGAAGATGCGCGCGACGGTTATGTATTGCGCCAGCTTGCCCTGATCAAGTACGAGTGGGTTGCATCGGTGTTAAGAACATAACTGATAAATAAGTGACCTAGCTTCATCAAGCATATAAAAAATGGTTTCTAAGTGCATCCTTTAGATAATGGGGCGTACAAATTTTTAAATCCAATCGAAGTGCTCATGATGCAACATCACCATTTTGCGGAGGCTAAACTTAGGAATCTGTATTTGAAATAGATAAGTGGATGCTGCATACTTCCATGAATACGGGTTTTACCAAAAATTGTGTCGTTTTATACAGAAATGGCGAAGGAATAATCGTAGCCATCAGTTTTGTAAACACAACCCATTTTCTAATAGCAAATGATAGCCTGTAGACTTTCATAGAGTTAGAGATAAATTATTAGAGAGAAAAGCTAAAGATTATACGTTAAGCATATTTTTTTCCAGAAGGTCTCACATTACATCTATTTTGTTAATGTACATCGCATTACGCATATTAGCTGGTGGCGCAATTTATTTAATTCAAGATGGCGTCTCCTGGCCCCGTCTTGAAGTGGAAGAAA